TCAACTGCCCGGGAATCCCCTTTCCGCGGCCGCCGCGGTCGTTTCGAAGACGTTTTCGCTATCGCGGCGCTAACACGTGTTCGACGCACGAGCGGCAGGAATGGCTCAGGTGCTTCTAGCAAAGATTGCAGGAATGCCCGTAGCGCGGCAAATACATTCTCTTCTCCTTCCTGGAAAACGCACCGGCTGTCGAGCCAAGGGGTAAGCAAGCGGCCATTACGAATTCATCTGATGTCGAGACAATCTAGGAGCCCAGCCCGCGACGTGCTTCTTCTTCTTCTGAGGCGAGATGGGGGAGATCAGGCGAGATGCCCCACGAGAAAAAAAGTCACGTGTGTGCGCCGAGGGCGGGCCCGGCTGGCTTCTGGTTGAATCCGCCGAAATCGTGGGAGCGACTTTTCTCGGATCCAGATCGAGATCTGTAGCGGGAGCTAATCCAAAACGACCAGTGAAACACGTCGGTCTCGATCCCGATCGCCCAGTGAAATAGGCTCGCTCCAGAAAAGTCGATCCCGGAGCGCTACAAAACGACCAGTGGAATTCGCCATCAGTTGCATCGCTCCCGCTGTCAGACGAAAGATTCATTTTCTTGTTTTCCGAATCTGAAGAGACGTCCCAATATCCTCGTTTTGCATCAATTTTGAGGGAAGATTGTTACTAGTAACGGAGCGACCAGAAGTTGACGCCGCCATTTTTAAATCTTCTGCTGCCTGCATTGAAACAATTTTCTGCCAAATTCAGAGATCTACCACGATTTTATTTTCTGTGAAGCGCCATCTATCCACGGCAAAGCTAACTAGAAACACGTGGACTAGCCCAGTTCGTTCATGGTAGCGTACTGGAGCCCGAATCAACGTGGACCAGCCCAGCTCGTCTTCAGGAGTAGCGGTACAAAGCATATGGACGAACCCAGGACGTCCATAGTAGGAGTTAATCGAATCAACCAATGATAAGGACGATCGGCGACAACTGGAAAATGATACCGACCTTACTATGGTAGTAAACCTTTCAAGAAATAACGACTACTGGGAGTGCACTGCGAGTAGCTGGCCCTTATCACATGACGGGCAAAAAGAAAACTCAAGTGCTGTAGGCCACAGTTGAGATAGCTCAGGCCCGGATAAGGCATACCGTGGAAATTCTGCTGTCTAAATTACGACAAAGCGCGTGTCTTCTGCGAGAGTCCTTGTCTCGGCGAACAATGGTGGAATACATGGCTTTGACAAGATACCAAGATACTACATTAGACTATTGCTAACTTTTAAAAAGCTTTTCTTTTTTTGCGAGGGGGGGGGGGGGAGGGGCAATAACACTGTAGACACTTATCCTGCAGTATTTTCTCAGAAGGAGTTCGATAACGTGGGTCGAACCACGGCCGGACTGGAAGCGCGCGCTCTCTTTCTCTTCTTGCGGCCTTCGCAATCGCCCGGGAGTCAATGCCATTTTTTCTCCGTATGTAGTTCACTTGCTTGCCGCCAGGGGCGCAACAACCTCACCCTACTTCACCCCACTCGGAGAGTCCCTTCGAGCTGCTTTGCGCTGGTGTTCGAGCTTCGTAGGTTGTTGTTTTGGCAACTTTGGTCTGGTGTACGGCGGTGGCTATCTGGTGAAACTCATTAGTGAGTTTGGGTGCGACGCCTATGTTATGCTGTTGACTACGAGTTGATCCTCTGTTCGTCTTATTGCAAGGCCAGGATAAAAGCGGGCTTGATTGTCTTAATCCTAAGTTCCTCGCACTTCTTGACAACATTGTTGCTTTTTTTTTTTTTAAAGGCTGTTAAGCATCTTTCGCGTACAAATGTGCACGAAGTTCTGCAACTAGATAGGGTGCAACACATTGCACAATATCTTGAAGACGCGCCAATCCTAAGTTGCCAAGAGGGCATTGACAACAGTCACTTAAAGCGCTTGGCTGGTTTAATTTGCAACAAGTTCCTCAGAATCCTTCTGATTAACCATGCAAAGACGGTCACGGACAGAAACGAAAAACCAGCTGGATATGTGCACAAGCCCTCGAGGAAGCACTTTAGGCTGTATTATACACGGTGCGAAAATTGTACAGACTACTACACCCTCGTCTAGAGCAGCTGACCGACTGCATGTGCGGCCTATGAAATGATGATGCAGACAACGGAAATAGATATATTGGGACTGCTTACATTTCACGACACTGTACGAATTATTTATAATCTAAAGATCCTCCACTAGAAGGAGTCCGTCTCTTCCTGTTCTTGAGTTGCAACAGAAGTCCTGGAGGTAAAGACGAGTATAGTTTTTCCGCAATCGCATTCGCTGTCTCTACTTACTACTTTTTACTCGCGAATCTCTCGGAGATGTGCGTCGAATATTCACCGTTTTGGGCTCATCAGAAGCGCATTAGATAGTGGCTGAGGGTCTAAACGGAAGGATCGGGTGTCAAAGGCTATAAAAATCTCGGCCGCAAGTTGCGACAGCGCTGAGATACACTGTCTGACGCGCTCTGTGCAAACGGCAAAGGGTAGCCCAGGGGTAATAACCAGGGGTGAGGTGACAGCGCCCCCCGCGAATTGCGGCGGGAGGTGGCGATTGCCCCAATTGCAAAGGCCGTAAGAAGAGAAAGGGAGCGCGCGCTTCCAGTCCGGCCGTGGTCGAACTTAAGACGTCTTCTCTGTGCTTTGACGAATACCTGAGCGAAAAAAAAGGTAACACGCATATTGATGGATGACTCCACGAAATTTTCTTTTCAAGAAAGTTAATAAACAAGGTGCAGTCAAAACTGAAGGACCAGAGAAAATAAATGTAACGTCAGAAACTCGGGAAGTCACGTGGGTTGTTTCACGCGTTCGAGATTTCTTTCATATAACAACGGATTTATGTTGTGTCAGTGGTCAAAAAATATACGTTAAGTAATTATTTAATGTTTTGTTTATCAATAAATCTCTAAATCACAGGGCGGATCACATAGGTCCGTTTGCTCGAAATGCTAACCGCGGCTAAAGTTAGCCGCAGTACCTAGGCGAGGGATTTAGAAGTCACGTGACTGGCTCGGTAGGGAAGCGGGGAAACATGGCGGTACCCCCGTGAGTGAGCGCCGCTTGCTTTGAAAGTAATGTCGTTATAGCTGCAATATCGGGCGCGTTAGTCAGCAATGAATGGTGCAGGAGGCCTTCGCCTTGCCTTACCTCACTTAAATCTCAAAGCATGAGCAATGACCTCGCCGCATTTTTTAGTCTTTTGATTCTGGCCATTCCTAAGCCTAAATGAACGCGATAATTGTCGGCATGACAACGTCTTTGGAAAGTGGATTGCCTTGATTCAATCGGTTGGGTATTGATAACACACAAAAACAGACAGCATCCCAAAATACCTTTTTCTAAATTTCCCAAGCACCAAGGTGCATGCTACGGGTGTAGTTACACGCGTTTCACGTGCTGGCGTCTGCAGTAGTAATTGTTCTAAAGCAAAAACTCTAGAAAAAATTTTACCTTGCACGCGCGTTCGTCAAAGCCTTATTATGATAACTTAATTCGACTCTTTTATAAGAGGAAGTCCAGCGCGCGCGGACCGTATAGAATTACACTTCCAGCGTCCTCCTCGATGCTTGGGTAATCTGCTAATAGGTCTATTTTCACTTGAGCCGAATTACAGGTTTTTCCAATTATGATGGTGTTATATACAGTTTTTACATGCTGGCCAACCATGCTGCCGGCGTACCACCTAACGTTGGTACCACCCGCCTTTCACTGGTTACTTCTTCCTTTTCGTTTCTAGGACTGACTTCGTCGTCCTCTTTCGAACTTGGAAGAAAATTTCAACGAAGCTTTTGTGTGCTATCAATATCCGGCCGATTGAGCCAACGACATATTAGTTCCAAAGCGAGCGGCGCTCACTCACCGGGGCACCGCCATTAGACTCTATCGCCATGTTTCCCCGCATCCCTACCGAGCTAGTCACGTGATTTCAAAATCCCTCGCCTAGGTACTGCGGCTAACTTTAGCCGCGGTTAACGCTTCGAGCAAACGGGCCCCGGGAGAATAGGCCGAGTTTAGTGTCCTAAACGCACATGCCTGAGAAAAAAAAGAGGGGTGGGGGGGGGGGGGGGGAGGAAGGGGTCATCAAAAGCGGCAGTTTATCGACCGGCCTCTTTATCAAATAATAATAACAGTTTGTATCGCAAGTATATTTTGTTGATGGCTGGGCCCTTGTACTTCATGTTTTTTTATCAAAAATAAGGCATGCCTAAACGCCTTGTGGAAGGCCCTTGAAGGAAGTAGACAACAGTGTGTCACGGTGCTCTGTGGAATGACGTGGATAACAGACGTCTGAAATGCTTTTGAAAAACCGGCTACAAAAAAAAAAACAAAAAACTGTGAGTCACTTTAGATTTACGAATGACATTTAGTATCACCGCATGGCAAAATAAATACAATAATTGCACAATAGTAAAATGCAAAAAAGTAAAAGAAAAAAAAAACACATTCCTGCAGGCTTTAGGTGTGAAGCCGTACTTTAACTATTACCGACGTGTGCAACCGAAAGCGTCGCTGTGGTCGAAGTCCGCGATTGGCCAAACAATAGCTTTCTGTGTAGTGATAACGCCTGCCCAACGGCTGGTTCACGGCGAGGCAAATCCTGCCAATCACGGCGAGGCAAATCTTGTTCGTGACGTCACGAAAGGAAACCATAAGAGCGCGCCACAGAAACATCTCGGCACTAATAGTCAGGACGTGGCGAGTTCCAAGCACCTAATTATCGTTCGACGTACACTTAGATTGAGGCATCAACCGATAGGAATTCCGAAAAACTTAATCACGAAGTCAAAAACGTGAGCATAATAAGTCACGCCCTGTGTTTTTCGAACTGTCAGTGACAATAAGGAACTCGACCTTTTCGGTACGAAACCTTCTCTGCCATTCCGAAGCTCTTGGGAAATTTCTTGGCAAGTTTCCTTATCTTCTGTACAAAACTTCGTGCTAGATTCATAATGCGCTAAGACGTGGCAGATTTGAAGGGTCAGTCACCTTTCAGATGAGTGGACTTTACTCCCTTCTTGTTGGCCTGCGGCGGGTCGGCCAGTCTGGAGGGCATCACCTTGGGGAAGAGGAGCACGGGCAGGCTAGCCAGAGCCATCACACAGCCACAGACCAGGTAGCCCAGCCACCAGCAGCCAATCCATCGGGGATCCGCCGGGTCTATGTCCGGTTCGTCTGACAGACAGAACGAGCGACGTTCAAAGAACGATTTCGAAAGTCCCTAAGGCTACAATGCGCCGCCACGCACTCGGAACACCGATCGTTGTTCTACTCTTTTTAAGAATTTTGCCCATTGCATGGACGATCGTATAAAATGATGCCTAAGTCGCTGTTGTCGCTAAGCTGATTCTCGATGAAATACGTTAGCATTTAGCGCAGAGGTTCATTGTCCTCAGAGAGCTAGTCTGTTTTCCCCGGCGTCGGCGGAGCCGCCTCGGTGGCTCCGAGGCGAGAGCGTCGGCCTACGGATCCCCATGTGGCGGGTTCGAATCCCGGCCGAGGTGCCCGCAATCTGACGGAGGTTTATTGCGGAGAAGACGCCGTGTAACCGAGCTTTCGGTTGCACGTCAAAAGATCCCCAGGTGGTCGAAATTAATCCTCAGTCCTCCGCTGGGGCGTGCCAGATGCCCGTCGTTGGTTTGGCACGCAAAACCCCCAAATTTGACCCGGCGTCGGCGGTTTCGGATGCAGCCACCACAGCTTTTAGAGGAGCGCGCGTCAACTGTAGCGCGTCTTTGGAAGCGTGCGAGCAGACTCCTTCCCTCTTACATAAGAGAGAAAGTGGACGCAACGAGCGAACAAACAGAGCGAGAGAGCAGGGCGGGAATCGCGCCGCAGCATCACGAAACCAGCGCACGGTCCAGTCCAGTCCAAACCAAACCAAGGACGGCTGCATGCACCGGGGCAAAATATGCTAACATGTTTAAAAGGTCGTTGTGCAGCGGTTGTACGGCACTGACTAAATTTCTCATCTACAGCTAAGAGACCGATCACCCGTTGGGGCGTATCTCCATCAAGGCTGTATAAACATACAAACCAAGTCAAGCCAATTTTCGTTCGGTGTCACTTATTGGTGACTCCAGCGAAATCGACGGCACCTAGCGGCTAAAACAAAAAGCTGTGGTGGCAGGTTCGCTCTCCAGTCTTCTCAAGCGAATCAGATATTATTCACAACGTCTGGCAACCAAAAGACGAAGTCGTGAAAGTAGGTTAAAAAACACGCGATGAAAATCGCCAATACTCCGTCTCGTACTTATAGAACGCCGTCGAGGCTACTAGAGCGAGCGCGCGGCTTCATCTCTGTGGTTTTGTTTAGGCGAGAGGGCGCGTGCAAATGATTTGCGAGATCGAACCCGATACTCGCGCCAGCAGCTTTGACAGCGTTTTACATTTAGTATAAAACAGAGTTTAAAGATGGCCGATGCGTATCACAGATATACCGATCTCACCAGCCAGTTTGACTACGCCACCGCTGCCGCAATGCACCGAGGGAATTTTAGTCTTACTGCACGTGCGACAACCCCGCTGGAACTCTGCAGGTGTGGACAACGAAACGGCATGAGTCCTCGCATGCACGGCAGTCTCCTTCATGTGAACCAAAGTTAGGGCGGCGTTACGCATGCGCCGAACGCTTTGTGAGATCGGCCTGTGGGGCACAAGTGCTGTGCCAGCGTTGCACTATTTTTTTTCTTCAAATACGCGAGTTTTAACTGAACGCTGAGGCAGCACTCATGTCAAACTTGCGCCCGCCTTGGCCTTCTTGGGTGACATCAAACCTTCAGCTCTACGGCTTTGTTATTTAGAAGTTGTTACCCAAAGGCATGCAGTCTTGGTGGGAAAGGAGGCTGTGTACAACTCTTCGCCACTGACTGTACGCCCATTGGAGCGAGATGCCGATCGCCTTCTCTTTGGCTCAACCGGTTGAAAAAAAGAACAGTGATTTGTCTTCTGAATGCATCGTGGTGAAACTGTACTCATTTCAGGATCATCTGAGTGTGTATACAGTTAGGGCCTGTGAAAATGTCAACAGTCAGCGTCACGCTAGCGTGCGCAGACCTACAGAAAGGATCTTCGTAGAGGGACAGGCACAGTCCGGCTCCCAAGAACCCGAGTGCCGGTCCGATGGCACGTACAGAATAGCTGGCTCCTGAAAAAAAAAAAAAGTACACTCAAAAAAAGGTTTTACGTAATTGGCACACAGCAGCAGAGAAAGTTTTTTTTTCTCTCTCGTGTGGGTAAAAATAAAAGATTTTATACTTAAATAATGTGGATAACGTAGAAAATAATGTAAGACTCATTTGTAAGAAGCTTTTGCGTGTTGTGAATAATTTTTTTTTATCGCCTGTACTCCGGCAAGAACACGTGAACATTCGATAATCAGATTGATTAATTTTTAGTTTAGAGAAAAGAATGCACAAATCTACTACATTTCGTTTCATTCTACGTCGGAGCGCAACCCACGTTGGGAGCCAATGGAGTCAATCAAACAGCGCTGAAAGAGCAAACTCATTGGGTTCGTCAATTTTCTGTGAGCGTGTTCTTATAATCCAACAAAAAAAATTAATAAAGGGTGCCTTGCGGTTTTGGTATGTGCGTATGTTTGCTTGTCTTCTCACCTTTAGTTGCGCTCACTGCAGACTTGAAACGAAGTGAGCATATACGGCGAGCAAGTGCTCTAATATGCGTCTTTGGCGCATCGAAACGCCTAGGTAACGCACGATGACGAGGCAGCCAAGTTCGCGCCATAATTAGTTGAGCCGCGTTGCGCACCTCGTGCGTTTGCTTACCCCTCAAACGCGTCCACGTGCGTTTGTTTTCCCCCGACCTCAACTAACCATTGCGCGAGCTTGGCTGCTTCGTCATCGTGCGTTATCTACACGTTCCCCTGTATTGCCATTCAAAGAGACACTGCAAGGAAAAAAAGTGTCTACTAAAGGGCATAGATGCGACACGAATTTGGTTTCTTCACAATAAAAAAAAAAATTCGCGCAATATTTACGCTGTTAGACGCAATTTACGTGGAAGTTACAGCCTGCTCTAAGCTCCGCCCACAAATCAGTGGTTCAACCCATTACTACTGGACTGGCTTGGCTGCTCGACCAAACAGGCTAGCAAGCGCAGTATCTCCCTTTCGCGTCATCCGGTCCGCGTAGCATAGAGTAATATAGTAAACGTAAAGAGAGGACACAGGAGCCGATTCGCGGCCCAGATAATGCGTTTAATACCCTCCGCTACGTGGCGCTTTTCTGCGATTCGGTTAAAATTAATTAAAACTCTCTCTGTGAAAACTATTTATTTTTTAAATGGCAGTGCTTTAAAATCATTTAAAGTACTTAAAACGACTAAATAGTTCAAATCAAATACGTCACAAAAACCACGTGATGAATGGCGCCTGCCATGGTCTGCCTGCCTGCACGCTGTCGCCTCTGCATCATTCTGCATGGCCTCTGCTCGTCCCTGCGTCGCTCGTCTGTGGCGTGCGTGCCGTCCATCTGTGCTTTCTGTTGCATCGTGTTCGGTCGACTTTGCATCAATCAAGGTGACGCATGACCGCCCGCGTGCTCGCATGCTCGGCGTGAATTCGTGGAGCCGATCGGTTCGAGCTTCTCGCGCTGTTATTTCTGCCGGGCTGTCTGGCTGCACTTGAACGCGTGTAGATGTTGATTTTCGATGAGATTGTTTTAAAAAAAGAATTTAACTTACGACCCTGCACACGACATTGTCCATGGGTTTACAGATGACGGTTTTGACCGAACCTCTAAAATTGCAGATAGAGCCTTGGTTGTTATGCTGTCTGAAATTTCCAGGAGGTGCGTTTAGCCGCTTGCATACACCGTTGTGCACACTCCAACAACATCTTCTGTGTAACGCAGTCTCCTCATTTTTCTCATTCGGGAGCTTAAGACGGTTGGCTTCACAGTAAAGGCTGTGGTCTGTGGTTAGGGGGCTTCAAACGTAAGCTTGGTGTGTGTGTCGATAAGCCATTTTCTGAAGTTGACAACGAACACGTTTACTTTGTCTTTGATGTTCCGCACCTTCCCAAAACAACCAAGAGCAATCTCCAAGCCCACAAACTTTGCATTGGAAATGAGGTCATTGAGTGGTCTTCTATTGTTTAACTTTATTGTTCTATCCATGAGATGAGCTTGCAATTGGCTCCGAAACTTACTGAAAGACACATTTTTTCAAGAGCCTTTCTGTAACATGGAAGAAAATTGTGCCCCACAGGTACTGAGTGCCTCACTCTTTCTTGCAATCATATCCCTTGTTTATGCCAAGGAACTTCCTGAGGCAGCCATGGCTACAGCCTATTTCTGTGATAGGATGTGCATACTTTTTGATTGTCTAAATAGCTAAAAAATTCAAGAAGAGAGGGCAGAAGTTGCGTCATGCCATTCTGAAGGGAGAATCTGAAATACTTGATTTTCTCCACCAGTAACTCGGATGGATTTCAGCATGGCAGTTCCAAAGTAGGAGGCAGCCATAAGCCATCATTGGGTGGCAAGTTACTATAAAAAATGGCCTCACGCTCTGGGATGAGCTTTCAAGCAGCCATGACTTTAAGTTATTACTTACACGACGCCTGCAGCAAGACACACTTGAGAACGTTTTTGGAGCTATATACGACAAATGCTGGGCTGCAACACAAACCCAAATGTGCATCAGTTCACCTCAGGACTAAAACACCTCTCGATAAAGAAACTGTTCAAACTGTCGGACAATGAAAACGTAGAGGATGGCAAGGCTGGGACCTCCTAAAGGAGTTGCAAATATCTTCGCACCATGAAAGTTTCATTTCAGACATTGTGGAATGTCTTCCAATTGATAACTTCCCGCCACTAGAGGATATTTCTGAGCTGGCATGAGACATCAGGTCTAACATAATTGATGACTCGTCCACTTATTACGTTTGGGGCTATTTGATCAAACTTTTGCTTGAACAGACAACTTACAGCTGTGGCTGTTCTCAGCTGCTATCGGATGAGTCTAGTAACTTGACCAGGCCTCACCAGTACTGTCTTGTTCCTAAAGCATACCACGTGCCTGGAAAATTCTTCGGGAACTTAGTAGTACTATCACAGGCTGCCTTTCATTTCATTCGGCAACTAGAAAATCACTTTCTTCCCATAATAGAGAGTGTAACACATGTTCGAGGAGTGTGTGCCGCCTTGTATAGCACACTTTGAGGTCTGGGTGGTTTTAGCCTTTGCCCAGAGGAGTACCATAAAGGGTTTTTAAAATTGTTTTGCAGAATACGCTTGTGTTGACATGTTTGATTTCTTAACCGGAATTTGGACAAAGTTCGGTTGCACTCTTTAGTGGCTAGTAAGCAACGAGACAGGTTTAACTGTTAATAGTGTACTAACAGAGGCGCGGTTGCCAAACCAAAAACAAAAAGTGCTTATTAAGTGGGCGGTGCAGCTTGCTCTTCAAATATTCGTTTCCACTTTTTCCAGCGAATGTGTATCACGGCTCCCTAACAAAAATATTTTGTCACTTTTTACAAAATTTCGATAGAAAATAGTGTACAGAGGCTAAAAATATTTGAAAGAAAATGTATCCACTTTTTTATCACTGTCGATAGTTTTTTAGCCGCTTTTTTCTGAAGCCATATTTCTTTTCTGAACAATTTCGGGGAATGTTTAGGGACGTTGAATCTTGTCAGATTTCGAATAGAGTTCTCATTGTTTGGTAATGGCTCGCCTCCAGTGAGTTTGAGGCTATGCAAATCAATGTTTTTTTGTTTTGTTTTTATTTGCCGGAAATCGGGAATTTGTACTATCCGGCGTGTGCTTTGCACTGTTATTATACTCTTATGACTGGTAATGATAGCGATGTCTTATTTATTTTTTCACTTACTTCCCGCACTCGAGTCGGCGTGAAAGTGAATGTATCATACAGCATGTTCTCCGTGGAAAGGTTTTGTTAGCTTGGTTCCGTTAAGAATCTATTAAGAAGTGTACAATATGCCGAAGTCCTTCATATTCATTTATTTCTGTGAGTATCCATCTCTTTCGTATAAAACATACAGACCTTCTGAAGTAAATCATGTATACATGAATGTGGTTCGATAAAATGTATTCGAACCACTTACTGTTGTTGACCACAAAATGCTCCACCATCTAGGAGTCAATGCGTCGATTGTGTAACTTCAATGCTTTACAATAGAAAAAGAACAAGAAATATATATACTTCTGCTTTGTGAAGTAAGTTGAAATATTGTTTGACACATTTTGCACGGACTCTATCGTAAAAATAAAGCAAAAGTGCGTCAGTATTAAAAAAAAGAAAAAAAAACAAAAAAACAGCGGCTTCGGGAGTCAAGGAGCTCCCGAGAGCCGAGCGAGGCGGGGAGAAGAGAGAGAAGGATACCGGAGAACCGGAGCAGAAACGCCCAAACCGAAACCGAAACTAACTTGACCGGAAACGGAATCAGATTATGCTTAATACCGCCCGCTAGGAGCGCTACCTGTCACTGGTCTATCTGGGCCGCTGGGGCCTCTGGTAGTGTCCGCTCTTTACCTTGTGTATATTACTCTATGCGCGTAGTCTGGACGTCTAACACCGCCTGCTAGGTGTGCGAGCAGACGAGCGGCAGCCTCCACCATCGTCTGCTATTTCACCACCGTCTATCGTCGTCTGCAATGCTCTGGGACGCGGACGCGAAAGCTGCGCGTCGGCGTCCGTTTTCGCCTCCGTCCGTCTGCTATTCATTCGCCGTCTACAAATTTCTGCAACACTCAGAAGACACGACCATGAAAACGGCGTTCTACCGTTCTATCATGCACGAGCCACGGTCCATTCAAAGCGTCTGTCAGTCAGCGTCTATCGATGTCAGTAATACGCAACCGAGAGAACTAACAAAATCAACAAAATAAATAAGCAGCCTTTCTAGCTTTACGGTTCGTCTTTCTTTTTTTTTTTTTTTTTTCACGTGGCATTTCCGAGAAGGGTGGGTGAGCGTCATGACGCACAATAGACCCTTTCCGGAATTCAGTGCCATCTGGTGACTCAAATGGCAGTTCATGTTTTACTATACTAATGGCGGCAATGAACCTGTGGTGTGCAGTATTTAAGGGGCACCGTCACTGAAAGGTCAACGTAAACGAGAATGTGCACTTCACAACAATTATTTTTCAATCTCTTTTAGTGTCGATGGCGAAACAAATGCAGGCAGTCGGAACGAAGCGCCAACCCACACAGACGTCTTGATAGAGTTTTATACACCAAGAGGCTTTGAAGCCGAGTGTGTGCTACTAACACATTGACTGCGACCAAGTTAGAAATGAACGCTTACGCAGCTCTTGCGTCCAATTCCTGCTTCACGCCGCGCTAACATCTAGAATGTATAGGCCTCGAATCATCTCCTTAGGAGCATCTTCAACTTCTTCCTTCATCAGTAAACAGAAGGCCGCCATTAGTATAGCACATATGCCGTTTTCAGATGACGATGATAGTGATCAAAGTGGCGAGACTGAATTCCAGAAAGGGTCTATTAAAAAAGTGACTTAAAAATTGTCCCTCTGGTAGGCCAGGTGCACTGCCAAATTTAAAAGCTTGCCTTTTGAGGCGCATGATGACGGGAACATCATCACCATCATCATCATTTATTTTCCTTGAGGGCCCGTGGGGCATTATACAAGGGGGTGGCAATAGAACAAAAACGAATAGAACAGTAAACACAATTATAACACTGTAAGCTAGCTAGGTAGGTTAGATAAAGAGAGGGTAATGGTTTCAACAAATTTAGTAGTATCATTAATAGAAACGATGTTATGAGGTAGTGAATAGACCCTTTCCGGAATTCAGTGCCATCTGGTGACTCAAATGGTAGTTTATCTTTTACTATACTAATGGCGGCAATGAACCTGTGGTCTGCAGTATTTAATAGGGCAACGTCACTTAAAGGTCAACGGTAAGCGAGAATGTGCACTTCACTACAATCATTTTTCAATCTCTTTTAGTGTCGATGGCGAAACAAATGCAGCCTGTCGGAACGAAGCGCCAACCCACATAGACGCCTTGATAGAGTTCTATACATCTAGGGGCTTTGAAGCCGAGTGAGTGCTACTAACATATTGACTGGGACCGAGTTAGAAATGAACGCTTACGCAGCTCTTGCGTCCAATTCCTGCTTCACGCCGCGCTAACATCTAGCATGTATAGGCCTCGAATCATCTGCTTAGGAGCATCTTCAACTTCTTCCTTCATCAGTAAACAGAAGGCCGCCATTAGTATAGACGCTTTCAGCGCGCGCCAGATTGAGCCGCCATTGCCGACCTTCTCTTGTCTTACCGAGATGCCGAGCCACTGAAGCGGGCGTTGAGGAGCCTCCACAAGGGCCTATGCTGGGGAGAAGGACACAGTAACATTTAAAATGGTAATAACCGGTCCTACTGTGGTAATGAGGAAGTGGTCAGTTATGGCGGCGCCCATGCACAGCTGCCTGAAAGCGTCTATATTTTCAGATGATGATGATAATGATCAAAGTGGCCAGACTGAATTCCGGAAAGGGTCTATTCCAATGGTAGTGTGGAAGTCTGGTGAGAAACAGTTGATGATCAAATTGAACATACCTAGACAAACTTGATGCAAGCCGAACGCCCGATTGTCTCCAACCAAATGGCTCGCAAATTCTTACCTGTGTAGATATCTTCTCCGTATTGAAACCGTGGTCGCAATCACAACGGTTGCACAATTCACAGAGCAGCGGGGCCGCTTTTACGGGAACCGATATCTGTATTCAGCATCAACGCGCGCGCAAAGAAAGAAGAAAAGCCAGATCGATCGAAATAGCTGATCTGGGACGCTAGGCTTAGACTAGTCCCGCTACGAGAACAAGCATCCGCAGAGCACTTCCGAAGGCGCGTACCTGCGGCAGTTGTTTGTTGCAAACTACGTCGGTTGAGGAGGTCTTCCTCTAAACACCTCTGTGAACTCAAAACCGCTCGCACTCATAAAAATTGACGAGCTCCACCACTCCGCAGACGCCGACAGCCATGTTTGTGAACGTTTCAAACGAAAGCGGGAGAAGCAATCTCAGAATACATTTGAAAACAATAATGACTCTGTCTTGATTATTTGCTTATCAAGCATAAAAAATAGTAAATTAAGATACTATTACGTCACGGAGATACAAATTTATAACCAACCTTTCACACATCAATCCTCTCTCCATCTAATGAGGAATGTAAGCACCTTGTAAGCACAGGGTGGGGCTTAGCGGGCTGCCACCTCCACCATCTGCACCTAAATTGCATCTAGCGGCGTAAATATTGCCCAAACAATATTAATGAATTAAAAAAGAAAGGATACGTGTTCTTTTTATGTCCTTCAGAAATTTTCTTTATATTAGCGTGCTTATTTTTGCGACCCAGTGCGCCGAAGACGCATAACACTTGCTCGCCGTATATGGGCACCATTTTACGGGCTAAAATTTAGCGCTCGATACTGGCCTATGAGAAGAAAAATCTAAACAGATATAAAATATGAAAAAAAGCTTCCAATTTTGTGTTTGTACAAATGGTGTACCGTACCCCGTGTTGGGAAAGTTGCCGTAACGAATGGCACAGTTTAAGAAAGTGGCGTCTTTTGCCGCAACTGCTCACTAAAAACAAAGCACTTTGATCACTCAGCTTCTGAACAGAGTCTATTGTTACGACAATCTATTTTGGCCTTCCCGTTCACCCAGATACGCTTCTACCGTGCACGACCTTATCCGTTGTCTCGTCGACAGCTGGACGCGATAAAAACTCTCAGCGCGGCTCGTACAGAGAAGCCGTAAATAAAGGCAAAACAGGAGGAAACTTTCTGACATGCGACGCTTAACACGCGTACGAGAGATAACGCGGCATATGGCCGCGATAGCCGAGAGAAACACACTCCAGAAACAATTCCCGGGCATCAACTCTCCCGCACGCATGACACTCCAAGGGCCAATAACGTCTATGTACGGGGAACGGGGTGATCTCGCCGAATGACGAGGTCCAAAAATATATAGTCATCACCTTTGAAAATATGAAATATGCGGTGTGAACTGGGCATGAAAATGCCATGAGCATGAAAGTCAAAACGTCATGTTCGATGTCACAATACCGACTTCATATTTTTAGGGAAACCCCATTTTGTCAGAGAAATCGCAGTCGTTGGTTTCCTAGATGCTTTGCGAAAAAAAAAAAAAAAAGACTTGTGTGGATTTTTTTCTTGGAGTAAATGATTTCATCTGTTTCAGAAAAAAAAAAGAAAAAAAAAGATAGCAGCATATTTTTTTTTTTTTTTTTAGAAACCCCTGAATGTATATTGCACCCCGTTGCACGAAGCAGCCATCATTAGTCTTTGTTCAATCAGCTTATCCAATAACAAGGATAATCTGTTCCATGATGCAACGGTAATTGTGCAGTCCACTGGGGACTGCACAATCACTGCAGTATGACTTCAGTGTTGCTGCTATTTGGTTGATTTGAAGAATTGAGGATCAGTGATTCACACTTCACATGCATCGCTGCGGTGTTTACTATCGCAGACCATATGAGCTGAAACATTCCGTCATGCTTGTTTGGCGTGAATGCTATTCTGTGAGAGCTGTGCTTCGAACTAGGGATTGAACGCGAAATTGAGGTCGCATACTTCAGACTCTGACAAATACAGAAATAATAGAGCTTGTGGGGACCACAGACTCAGAAAAAGGCTGGATCGGGTGTTTCAGCTCGTATTTTTCGCCGGGGTACTTACATGCCTAGTTCGCACCGCCTGTGAGAAGGAAAGGAAACAACCGAGCTCTCACCAAAGTACATCGGCGAGTTCTTCTTCTTAATGCTGTCATCCATGTAGGAACTTCCGGCCACGTGCAGGACACTCTGCCCGATGCCGTTCATGAACGACGCGACGAACAAGATGGCGAACGGCAGAGATGTGGTCACACCCGTGGGATCACTCGCGGAGCAGGGCAGGTCCGGCGGCCGACTTCCACAGAACTCCATCTTTCCGGCGTCCTCGAAGCCGTCGACACCCTTGGCGAGAAGTGTCGTCGCGGGGCCGTACATTGCGTAGGGCAGCGTCACCAGGATGGAGCTGGCGGACACGACCATCATGCCGAGGGACAGCATCTTGGGTCGGCTCATCCAGCCGGCGACGTAGCCCGTGAAGACGTCTAAAAAGACCGGGCTGATGCTTTCCGCCACCAGGATAACGGCAATGGAGCCCGTCGAGAGGCCGAAGCGCCGCTCCAGGGTCGACAGCGTGCCCACGGTGTACGACTTGTAGGCGCCCTGGCTGATGCCCAGAAAGTTGAAGAAGACGAACAGGGAGTGCGGCGAGGCGAAGGTCTGCAGCCATCTCGGTCGCCACGAACCGACGCCGCAGAGGAAGTCTTGGACGTGTGTGCGGATGGGCTTCCTCTCGGAGTCCTCTGAGTTGGACATGCTGCAGCCAGCAACACGAGTCGGCTGCTCACTCTCTGGAATTTGTTAAATAAGGACTGTAAGGTCCTGAGCGCCATAAGACCGGTTCTCACTCGCAGCGAAGCGCTGATGTAGCGCTGCTCACGTGTCGTCAGCTACTTATCGTCTGCCCTGAGCAACACTCTTCACGGTGCGATGTAAAGCTGGTGAACGCTCCCGTCAGCACGCGCTTAGCGCGAGGACAGCACTCTGCTTTTAGCGCTCCGCTACATGAGTGAACAGGCCTTTGGAGTGACAGCCGACGTAGCTCGATTCGGCGTCAACTATTTTGTGCTACATTGATAAAGCTAGCGTAGATTCTGCAGTGCTCCACCGTTGTCAAAGTTGCTCGAGCGCGTGCGAATGAGACGCAAGACGACGCGTGCTTTCACAACGGTACGGGGCTGCAGCACCACGGTGGCTACGCTATTTCGGACACCTAGCTATATAAACTTCAGGGCTTGAGGTAAGATTCCGGAAATTTTTTAGTTTTTTTTTAATACTTTTTCTTTTTTTCTTTTTTTACCAGTGTCAACTAACTTAGTTATTCGTCTTTGAAGTAAGAAAAATGCTATAATTGACAAAAAAAAAAGTCCAGAATTCAGGTGATTGAAACGTGACTCAAACGCGTGCGATTTGTTTCTTGGACGGTACAGAGATCACTTAGGGAATTGGAATGTGGCATAGCTATTAACTAATAAATGCAATCCAACCTTTTTTTTTTTTTTGTGCAAAATGCTATCTTTTTATGGAGAAACCCATTAGGACTGCACTTAATACCTGTCGAGAAGATTCAAATATTATTGCGATATTAAATTACGCGCAGCCAACAATTTCGAGCCCTTTAGAATGTAACGCTAGCTTTTGGAACAGGATGTGAAAACTTTAAAAATTACGGTTGTCTTTAGTAAAATGTTTAATCGAAAAAACTGATTTACATAAGGAGAGGACGCAGTTAGGCAGCAAAAGCGGATAAGGTATGTGTGTTTTCTGCTGCATTTTTTAGATGGCGTCCCTCTTGATTACAATATTACGTTAACACAAAAACAAAGGACGTGTTCTCGTTTACTCATGTCACCGATAGCGGCGCTAATGAGCGATTAAACATTAAAAAAACGCACTCTAGTTGCTTCTGATGCCCGATGGGGTCTTTTCGTTACCAAAATCACCTTTTTCGATTTTGTTTTTAGTTTGGGAAACTGCAAGTCTTCCAATTTTATTTGAATCGTCAGCGCTCTATATAGTCAAGGAGCCGGAGATTTCAACAGGAAATGATAATTGCATCAATATTGGGTGCGGGCTTTTTGTCCATAGACGATTGCAAGCAGGGCATGTGGCCGCCGCCATGTCTCTGCACCAGATTTGTGCCTATCTTAAATTCTCTACTCAAGATATTGAATTTTAAATATTTTTCGTAGTGTTTTGTTATTTTGAAAATACATGAGCATTTGTTAGTCTATCTTAATTTCCTTTCTCACTACCTTGTACTCAGTACCTCAAATACATTTTGCAACCTTGGAAAAAAAGAAAAAGAAAAAAAGAAACTTCGCCGGAACAATCTACGGATTGTCAGGCTCCAGGAAAAGCTGAACCGATTACCAACTTGGAGCCATGGCAACTAAATAAAGGACAGGAACCCAGGCACGAGCAAAACGCAGTCTCTAAATGCAAATAAGAGATTAGAAGAATAGCCCCAGGATAGCCCCCAGTACGCCCGCTTCTATGTGTCATCTTCTCCTCTTGTCCATTTTTTTAAAGCTGTTTTTGAACGTTACGGCACGCTTGGAGCTTGCAAAGTGCTGGTGACGTCATCCAAATTTCCCACTCTGACCTCACCTTTTGAGTGGAGGTTCCGTCAACGAAGGATTCTGGCACCAACGTTCGGTACGATCACAATGAACAATTTTGGGAAATTGCCGGTTCAAGAACTTCTAGTATGAACACGACCGAACAAGTTTTCATGCGGGCACAGGCGCTCTTTGGGCCAAAGACCTAGATTGGGCATCCCCAAAGCTCCTTGTGTGCCTATTGTGGCTTAACTTTTGCTCCAAATCTTATAAATGCGCGCACGGTTTCGTTCTTAAAATCCACAAAAGAAGTTTTTCACCAGCTGGAGTCATTTATACCCTAGTGGATTTTGATTCTGAAGTCTCAAACATCTTGACCTCAGTACGTTAAGAATGGTTTGTGAACTGGTGCAGAAGAGGGCAAGGGAAGGGGGTTTAGAAGCATTTTTGTGGACACTTTCCCGTGCAGCTCCTGTGTTTGTTTTTTTTTTTTTTTTGTGTTTGCCTCTTGACCTTCCTAATCTTTTTTTTTTACAGTTTGAAGGTACCAGGTGCTCCTTCTCTCTTTTGACTGGGAGAACAAGGTAGTCGCACTTGTTTGATAATCAGTTAATCAGCGACAGGGGCTGCTATCCTCGAGTCTGTATTTACCCTAGCGTGAAAGTGTGTCGTTCACTCGCGTAGTCATCAGCAAGTCTGGCGGCTTGATCAACTTCTAGTTCGACTGTTAGGAATATGCAATGCCGGACTACATATCAAGTCCCCCGAATAGCGGCTGGGCTTAAATACTTATTGTGGAATCCCTCATGAGCCGAGCCTGCCGTCAAACTAAAGCACGGCAGGCGCGATGTCAACAATACACGAGCCCTGTTTGTTCCTAATATATTTCGGCACGCATTATGTAGCATATCCTGAATTATCTCAGAGTAAACTTCAATTGCAGCAGTTAAGGCGCTTCTTGAAATTCAATAAAGACCACACAAAAACGTGATTTTCAGATAAGTTATCACAAGTAGAGCGCCATTTTCTTACTTTTTTAATCCTATATTACCATCATGGAAAACTTGCTAAATAGTTTCGAATTTAATTCAATTACTTCTTCAAATTATTTGTACTCTACTCAACATGGTTGGTACTAAAAGTAACTTGAATACTACTTTAAATACATCTTCAAATGGGTAGTTAGCATCTTATACTAATTACTCTTGTTGAGTATTTGGTACAACACTGCTCTGCACATGCGGCAAGCACATGCAATTCCAAGCCTGTCAAGCATATGTTCACGAGGACGCTTCGCGTGCGCGTGAACGATTCTTTCTGGCTGTAGTTCTGCGCGCCATAATAAAATAAATAAATAAATAAAACTAACTGCGCCCCTAAAAGTACGTTTGTCCATAAACTCCGGCTAGGCCAACTTCTGGGGGAAATAAAGTTAGCAAGCTGCATTAGTTAAAGAGCATCTCCAAACACAAAAATATAATTACATTAAATATGTTCAATACATAAGCAAAAACAAGTATAATAAAAATTGTTAGATGGAATTGGGTTCCTCTGGCAGTAGTTGTGTTTGTAAGATACACATAACTTTATGGATCTTGAAATTATTAAAACATTGTAAAGCATTAATCGGCTGGGTGAGAGATACTTAAAAAAAATTGTTGTCTGCATGTTTATACAGCTGGAAGTTAGTCCGCCTCAGTGGGCGTCTGGTGTCTCAGCTGTAGATGAGCAATGTAGCCAGTACGGTACAACCGCTAACCTGGGGTCTTTAACGTGCACCACGCAGTAGTGATACACGACCGCACGCCGGTACGATGCTCATCCAGATCGAAACGGGCAGGAGCGAGGATTGAAAAGAGATACTTATTAAATTAGTGATAATGAAAAGGCAGATAAAACCGCACCTTGATGATGCTTTGCTCGACGTAATGTCAAGTCGGGGGGAAAAGGGGAAAAAAAGTTAAACGAACTATATATATATACAATTAAAAGTACAGCAGCCCGGATAAGATTATCTGTGGAACAATGAAATAGGTATAAATGAAAAAAAAAGATAGTGGCTATATTTAGCAACAATTAACTAGTTTGTGCTTAGTTCTGAAGGCTAACCGAAAGACTTTAGGCTAGCCTAGCTTCCGCAGTGATTTAACGCTATCAAAGCTACTTCCGCGAGCTCGTGGCTTCATTTGCGTCTTTTTTTTTTTTTTTTGTACGAGAGTGCGTGCAAATGAGAGACAATACAAAGCCACGTGTCTTTGCTGAAGTACCGGGATGCATCGCTGTGGAAGGGAGGCAAAGCTGCAGGTAGCCCGCGCTCCTGGTTAGGAGACGTGCCTTCCTAGCACGAGTGTTCCTTCTGGGGAAGAACGTTTCAAAGCCTCGACCTCGTCCCCTCACCCTTGTCGCATTGGCTGAAGTCTCAGCTTATGGCTAAACGGAGTACAGAGGAAGGTATACGCTAGCCTTGATAACATATGACAACATAGTTGGCACCAAATATAAATTCTGCAAGTTGCTGAAGTACGATGTCTTTAGCAACTACCACCCCCGTCAATAATAATAAAAAAAAAATTGCCCGCCGTAATACATACCGGTTTGTAGTCGCACCAAGACGGCTGCTCGAGCGAAGGAGTCACAAACTTTGTGACGGCAACATCGCGGGCGTCCAGCGAGCGCACGGCCCGACAGTGTACGTAGGTCCAATATCGACGCGCGAACCTCGACGAGGGAGTCAGAGCCAGGTCCGCTCGGTAAGATAAGCCAATCTGACGCTCTTAGCAGCCTCCCATACCGGTCGCTGCAATGCAATCGCCACGTGATTCCAAAACGGCGTCTGTATGCCCTCGTCTCTCAGGCGCGTCTAAATATTGACGAGGCTAATCTGGGCATCCGTCTCTTTCGATTTTCGTACTTGTGGAGAGCGTAGCTTTGATAATTTTGAGTCAAATACGAGAGAAGTATTACGCGCTTAAAAAAATGCCCGTGCGTCCACTTTCCTGCACAATACTCGGAGAGAAAATAGGGAGTTTTCGTAAACCACTTTCCTCCCTCCGCTAAGCTATCCGCAACGAAGAGACCGCTACTGCGTCTGCGCGCCGCTAGCCTTCACTCAAGAAACCCGGATCTTGTAGCGGGTTGCGGAGAGCGTTGCGGGACGGCAGAAACGGTCTACGAAAACTCCCTAATAGGGAGTTCTCGTAGACTGTGTTTCGCCCTCCGCTAAGCCCTCCGCAACGAAGAAGCCGCTACTGTGCCTGCACGCCGATGGCCTTGACTGCAGAATTTCAGGTATCGCAACAGGTTGCGGAGAGCGTTGCGGGATGGCGAAGACGGTCTACGAAAACTCCCTAATAGGTGTGTGTGTGTATGTGTAAGCGTTGAAATTTATTTTAAAACCAAGAAAGGGGAGGGGGAAGGAAGACCGGAACAGTGTGGCCACTCCTTCTAATGGGGGCCTGCCAGTCCCGGTCTGAGCAACAAAATAAAAGGGAAAGAGAGAGAGAGAGAGAAGGAAGAAAGGGAAGGAAGGTTCAAACAAGACACACACTGATCAAAAGATATTAAGTGGTGTCTAGTCCAGCACTGTCAGGTCTGCCACCTCAATGGCAGAAGGTCATGTTACCCGTCACAGTCACAGACCTTGCGCCAAGCCGGGCCCGCCGTACTGGAAACTGGAAGGAACACCAAGCATTAAAGATGGTCAGCCAAGCCGGTGTCTTCCAGGAATGTCAGAAGCAGCGCGAATGTTTTCGTAGCGATGCGCCTGGGACCTGGCGGGAAAAGCAGGTGCAAAAGGTTCTGCCTTGCTGCGCCTATTTGACGAAGTTCAAGGTGGAGTCTAGAACGCTGAGCGTCTAAGATTGGGCAGTCGCAAAGGAGATGTTCTATATCCTCGGGAACTTGGCATGTCTGACAGTGTGGGCTGTGCACGCGTTTGATGCGGTAAAGCCAAGAAGCCGTAAAAGCTGAACGTGTTCTGAGTCGGTGAAGAAGGGCTGCTTCTGGGCGGCCGAGTTTGGTGGGGACCGGTGATGGTGGGGTTCCTCCAGCTACGCCCACGTCCGGGTGTCTTTTTTGCGTCTCACGTGCGATGAGAAGCCTGGCCTCGTTGATCTTCGGCACGTGGAGAGTGCTGTTGGTCAGTTCATGTGCCTCAGCTGCGATTCGGTCGGCCCTTTCGTTGCCGTCGATCCCACAGTGAGATGGCAACCACTGGAATGCTATAGTCCAGCCTTTCTTTTCTAAGGATTCGACTTTGAAAGCGATGATGCGGGCAATCGGAGGTGCGTCTTCCAGATTGGTGAGGATTTGAAGTGCCGCTCTGGAATCTGTAAGCAAAGCCGCCTTTTCTGGGTTCTGAAAGTCGTGGAGGGTATCGAGAGCAAGTTCTAGTGCTTTTAATTCTGCGATGGTGGATGATGTGTGGAAGTCGAGGCGACCGGACTTGATAATGGCGAGTTCATGGATAACTACAGCAGCAGTTGAGGATTTCTTTTGATGACAGACTGAGCCATCGGTGAAAACTTTTATCCAACCGTCGAAAAAGCTGTCGACGTGTTCTTCCGCAAGATTACGGGAAACCACATCCGAGACCAACTTTTTGCTGCGTAGTTGGGGAATTTCTTCTGATATATTCAGAAACACAGTTGTATGAGGGGGTGGTGGAGGAGGGTCTTCATCCAATGTACCGACCGACTCCTTAAACTCTGCGTATGCTTTTCCTAGGCGGGAATTGGGACGTCTATCGAAGCGTTGTAAGAGGTTGGAAGTAGACCTTGTGAGGGTCTGCCGGGCGAGATGTCGTTGTGCCTGACGGAACGCTAGATTGATTATTGTGTTTTGTCTAGCTTCGACCAAAGTAGGGACGTTCGGCGCAGACGGGGGAAGACCGAGGCAGATTCTGAGGGCTTTCCTTTGAATAATCTCCATCTTCGTGAGCTGAGCGTCCCGTACGAGTACAAGTGGGAGCGCATAGAGCAACCTGGATTGTATCAGTCCCCTATACATTTGCAGAGTCATAGATTGCGAGGTTCCCCAGGTTTGTCCTCGGATCCTGCGAAGTACGTTGAGGTGCAGATCGCACCGAGATATTGTTTGTTTCACGGCTGGACCCCAGGAAAGGCAGTCATCAATAACCAGTCCTAGGTACATGTGGTTGCGCATCCGTGTTATGGGAGTGCCGTTTACAGAGTACGTGAAAGAGCTGGCCTTAAAGCCTCGTGGATGGTGAGCAAGTACCGCGGTTTTAGATGGCGAGATAGTTAAACCCAGTCGAGTAATTTCCTTTGAAATACCGTCAAGGGTCAGCTGTAAACGACGTTGCATTTTAGCATGCATGGCTGTTGGTGACGTGGCCCAAAGGGCCACATCGTCCGCGTATATTTGAATTCTTGGAGATCGGTCATCACGGGCGAGAGTTCGGGGAAGAGCGGCCATTGCAACGTTAAAGAGAAGCGGGCTTAATACACTTCCTTGAGGAACTCCTTGAGTTATGTGTCTGATTGTGCTGCGATCGTTTCCGATGCGACCTTTCATAGTCCGGCCAGTGAGGAAGGCCTTGATGAATGCCAAAGTACGTCCCGTGACGCCAAGGACTTGAAGCTGGTTAATGACAGTAGCGTGAGGAATCGCATCAAATGCTTTGGTAATATCAAGAAAAATGACGGCGTAACCGTGATTAGCTTGTTTGGCTTCCTCCAACGCCGAGACCAGAACCCCAATAGCATCTGCCGTGCAACGTCGACGGCGGAAACCAGAGAGTTGTTCAGGGATCGCGCCAACTGTTTCTAGTGCCCAGTCTAGTCTTCTAAGTATCATGCGTTCGAGAACTTTTCCAAGGCAGGAGGTGAGTGAAATTGGTCGGTATGATGACAAATCTTCTACCGGTTTGCCTGGTTTGTGGATTGGTATGACTTCGGAGTTGAGCCAGGCATCCGGCAGTGCCGCCGTGCTCCAGACTGAGTTTAGCTCCTCCAGTAGTTTAGGCAGCATGACGGGGTCTATGTTGTTTAAAGCCTGGTACGTTATCCCGTCCGGCCCTGGAGTGCTTCTACGACGGGTGGATCTTCTAAGTGCGTGCTGCAGTTCTTTAAGCGTGAAGTCGGAGTCTATGTTGGGCAGTTGATAAAGGGGGGTCACTGATGAGCTAATTTGAAAGCCTGAAGGGGGAGAGATTGGACGGGAGAATTGATCGGCCAAAAGCTCGGCAGTTCGTGCTAATGTAATATTTTGCGATATAGCAAACGCTGAGATCTGAAGCCGAGGAACTACCTCCGATGCGAGAGCACGTGCCATCCTCCAAGCCTGTCTTGCGCCACCGGGAGCACCAAGAGATTCACATTTTTGTCGCCACTGTTTTCGCTGGAGTCGGTTAGTATGGCGGCGGAACGCTGCGTCGATTCTTCTATAGCGCTGAATGTCCTCCATTCTTCTTGTACGTAGCGAACGATTTTGGGCTTGCCGTCGGCGGGCCCTCAGCTTGAGGTAGAGGAGGTCAGGATTCGGGCGGGAGACCGGGACCTGGACCAGCCTCGTGGCGTCATATAGGGCTTGTGAAATAGCCGTTGTAAGGTCGACGTTTCCTTCAGAGAGAAGGTCTTGGAGGTGCGAGCGATATTGGTCCCAATTGACGACTCTGCAGGTCCTATGTGTAGCGCTTGTAGAGCTTGGGGAGGAGATAATGATCGGGATATGATCACTACCCCAGCTGTCATGTTGAGGTTGCCATCGCGCGCTGAGTTGTGGTGTAGCGAAGCTGAGGTCAAGGACACTGTTGGGGACCCCCGGTCTGACAAATGTAGCGGTTCCATCATTCAGTGGAACAAGCCCTAGCGTGTCCACTGTGGCCTCAAGAGCAGATCCGCGCGTCGTTGTGTGCTTATCTCCCCAGGTGTGATTATGGGCGTTAAAGTCTCCCAAAAATAGTACGTTTTCTGAGCAGCGTGGCATAATCTTCATCATAATCGTAGGGTCCCATTTGGTTCCCGGACGGACGTACGCAGAAACTATGGTGGTGTCACAGTCCCCTTTACGTATCGTTACACCGGTGAACTCAGCAGCATCGTCACATAAGTCTGTCAAATCTATTTGACGCTGATCCAGTTCTCTTCGGACAAGTATCGTGGCTTTCGGCACTTCGTTCTTCGTGTTTTCAGTAACTGGCAGTAGGCCCTGATAAACGACGTATGGAGAAAGTCTGAATTTGCCGTATTTTATACGAGTTTCTTGAAGGGCTAGGACGTCGTATCGGTTGGTCTTTAAATGTAGGCGTAGATCTGAGAGGCGTTGTTGTATGCCGTTAGTATTCCATTGAAGCACTGTTGGACATGCAATATTTCGGGTGCGTCTCTTTGGGTGGATGTTGGGATGCAGCATTATGCTATATTCAGCAGTTAGAACGCTGCCTGAATGAAACCGCATAGAATGTGTGCCCACGAGGCATCAATGCCATCAAGATAAGCGCACGCCATTTCTGCTGCTATTCTGAATAATTTTATCCAATTTGCCGTAGGTTTTTCCGGAGCATCTCGGTGTAATCTTTTTGAAGAGTCAGCCGTTGATGTTGGTTCATTATTGGTGACTCCCGTTGAGTGTTCGGATTTTTTGATAGATGCTCCGTTGCATGTCGACTTTTCAGTGCCCGTCGGAATGGTGACACCGGGTTTTGGCTTATTAGACGTTGTTGCAGAGTTGTTGTTAGGTGGTCTTTCGATATTTTTTTGAGGATCGGTCTTGAGTGCTGCGGCATAGCTTAAACCCTTATCGTCAAGGGTTGGGGGTTGCCTGTCCTGC